TCAGGTAAAGCACCCTGTTGGTCAAGCACCGTCGAGGTGCCTTTCAGGTAAAGCACCCTGTTGGTCAAGCACCGTCGAGGTGCCTTTCAGGTAAAGCACCCTGTTGGTCAAGCACCATCGAGGTGCCTTTCAGGTAAAGCACCCTGTTGGTCAAGCACCGTCGAGGTGCCTTTCAGGTAAAGCACCCTGTTGGTCAAGCACCGTCGAGGTGCCTTTCAGGTAAAGCACCCTGTTGGTCAAGCACCGTCGAGGTGCCTTTCAGGTAAAACACCCTGTTGGTCAAGCACCGTCGAGGTGCCTTTCAGGTAAAGCACCCTGTTGGTCAAGCACCGTCGAGGTGCCTTTCAGGTAAAGCACCCTGTTGGTCAAGCACCATCGAGGTGCCTTTCAGGTAAAGCACCCTGTTGGTCAAGCACCGTCGAGGTGCCTTTCAGGTAAAGCACCCTGTTGGTCAAGCACCGTCGAGGTGCCTTTCAGGTAAAGCACCCTGTTGGTCAAGCACCGTCGAGGTGCCTTTCAGGTAAAGCACCCTGTTGGTCAAGCACCGTCGAGGTGCTTTTCATGTAATCTGATGTTACCTCCCAGCTGTGACGGTGCTTGACAAACTCGATCTTGCTCGCTGTGGCCCGCGTGGCTGTGGCCATGCGTCTTGCTCGCTGTGGCCTGCGTCTCAAAGCGCAATCTTTGAGTCGACTCAAAACCCAGAGGCATGTCCCCCCAATATCCTACCAACTCAATGTCATTTTTATAAGGTGCTTCACATTAGTTAGTAGCAGCTTGCTAGGAGGTTGCCTCCTTTGGTGTCATGCTCCCCTTTTACACCCAGTCAAAGTACTCGTTCTAGTATGACTCACAAAATATATTTTCATCTCACCTGCGAGTTGAGTGCCTGGTCAGCAGGCACCTCAAGCCTTGCTTCACTCTTGCAGAACCGTAAGAGTCAAAATGTCATGCTCTCATTTTTCCTTCGCCATTGTACTCATTATAATTTGTCTCAGAACAGTTACTAGCAGCTCACCTGCGAGTTCAGCGGTTGGTCAGCAGGCACTTCATGCCCCGCCCCATGCAATACCACATGCGTCAGCATGTTATGTTCCCGCCAATACCCCGTCACCGTGCTATCCTCGCTATAACGATCCCTACAATACTAATCAGCAGCTCACCTGGGAGTTGAATGGCTGGTCAGCAGGCACCTCATGCCCCGCTCCATGCAACACCACATGCGTCAGCATGTCATGTTCCCGCCAATACCCTGCCACCTCCCCCTCCACCTCCCACAACCGCCTCTCCACCGCCCAGAACCGCTCCATACCCTTCCACTGTAACTCCCCCATCCACTCCAGCGAGCACGCGGCGCCGTCTTTAATGTCGTATATCCCCTGATATAGCAGCATCGGGACGCGGTTTAAGAACCCTTCTACTAGGTGCATAGTGGATTTCATAGTGTCGTTAGACATATGCTTGCGCACGCGAGGGCTGCAGGAAACCCAGGTGACAGCCGCGTCGGCTTTAAGGACGTCTTTAATCTCCGGGCGGTTGAGGTATAGGGCGAGGTACTCCTGCTTGTCCTTGTTGTGGTGGTAGGCGCGGGTTCTTCGGATGTCCAAGGGCGTTGCAATGCCGCTCACGTTCTGAGAATGAAAAGAGGGCAGGGGAAAGAGGAAAGGGAGGGGGGAGGGGAAGGGAGGGGTAGTTGAGGTACAGCGCAAGGTACTCGTGGCGGTCCTTGTTGTGGTGGTAGGCGCGGGTTCTCCGAATGTCCAAGGGCGTTGCAATGCCGCTCACGTTCTGTGAATGAGAGGGGTGAGAGGGAGGGCACCAACGAGAGGGAGGGCACCAACGAGGGAGGGGAAGGGGGAGCGGGGATGGGGGTGGGAATATAAGAATAGCCAGCGATGGGTGGTGGAGGTTCAGTATGCCCTCTTTACTGCAATGAATCTTCTGATTTTTACCCCTACACCCGCCCTCGTTTTCCCCCGTTTCTTTTTGCAGGGAAAGAGGGAGAGGGGGGGGGGGGGGGGGGGGGGGGGGGAGGGGAGGGGGAAGGGAAGGGGGGAGCAAAGGGGAAAGGGGGGGGAGGAAGGGGGGGGGGGGGGATTTAAGTTTCTGTTAGTCGGGGTTTAAGATTACTACCTGCTCAAAACTTGAGAAAGCATAGAAAGCATTCCTTCACAGACATGGTTCCAGCGCCATCTGCAGCTGTTCGAACGAGTCCTTAGCAAATAAAACTTCACTGGACCTGAATCCAGTTGACGAGATTCCTCCATCTTGCAAAGCTTCCTGCCATTCTTTTACCAGAATTTGAGACATCTCTCTCTACATGAACCTGAATCTCTCTCCCTACCTGAATCCAGTTGACGAGGTTCGTCCGCTCTTGAAAAGCCTCCTGCCATTCCTCCTTATCAATATGCGCCACGACGCGATTCGCCCACTCCTTGGCCCTATCCCGCTGCTGCTGATCCAGCAACCCAGCGCTGTACGCGATATCAGCATGCGCCTGCACCTGCGTACGCGGATGCGTCAACCCGTTACCGATTATAACCCCGTCCAGCCGGAACGGATGCCTGTATCCGCCCTCGCCGTCGCGTTTGAATTTCAGACGCTGTCGTAACTGCTGCTGCGCCATATCCAGTTTCCCTACAAGGAGGGAGCCTAAAGCGGGGACATACTTTCCTGCGTAACTCTCCCCTGCCAAAAAGAACGGCCTCTGGCGAAATGGCGGGAAAAGGTTGAAGAATGATCGGAGCGCGGTGTACAGATCCCTTGCCACGTCATCCTGATCCAGAGGAATATCCTCATCTGAAGGAGCTACACTAAAACCCGTACCAACGGGGTTGTCTATAAAGAGGACACCGTAGCGACGGTTCCAGGGAGCGGGGTTGGACTCGATATCGAGCGATTCGGTAATTCGATAAGGGCCGAGTTCGTAGAAATTCCCGATCATGCTGGAACAACCGGGACCGCCTTGAAGCCAAAGAATGATTGGCGTATCGGATTGAGCCGTTTCGGGCTCCATCGCCTCGTAGTATGCGAAGTACATCTTCGCACCCGTGGTTTCGTTAACGATCAGGTAACCCGACGCACTAGGGAGAGCTTTTTTCGGGAAAGGTGCCAGGCTCTGATTTACGGTCTTGACTTCACTAGAGAGTTCTTCGCTTCTGGTGTAAGAAGCGAACGGTAACGCTGCCAACAGGAACCAAGCTAGCATCCTGAGGACGGAGGAGATCGAGAGAATCCTGGTATCCATGGCGAATCGCATGATCGATCCAAGAAACCTCATTCACCTCTGCTTGCGTAGAGGCACCAGTTTGCTTCACAAATGCACGGAGGAACTACAAAGGAGCAGGCGACGAGGAACGATGGAAGAAATACGAGGAAACAGGAAGCCCAAATTACTTCGAGGAACTAAAGTACCAGGCTCTGGCAAGCCTCTTCCAACCCATTAAGCCTCTTCCTCTTCTTCTTTCTTTCTTCTTGGAAGCAAGCCTCTCAGAAGCCTGCACAAACGGGATTCTGTGGCTCGTATTGCTAGATCGAGCGTCGACAGCAGGGTTTGTGGGTGGCGGACAGGCGAATCCATCGTGTGAAGAAGCCTCGAGATTCCGCGACGCGTGATCAAGAGCACCAGCCGTTTCCTACTGGTTCTCGTCAGTCTGACGAAAGGTGGGGCTGAAGTGACGTGGACCGAGGCGCTAGGAGCAATATTCTCGAGGCAAGTTTCAGCTGAGCTTTGTTTTGGCGGGAAGACATCACCTAGGGGAATATTCGCTCGAAAGCTGCAAAAAGATTCCAACCCATTTTGGCTGCAGCGAGAAAGCAAACAGGCTGCTCATCGTAACTGAAAGTGGAAAAGAAAAATAGTGTAGCATACAAAATGATGATTGGGTCACTAGTTCAATCAGTCCTACCACTTGATTTCTCATTGATAAATTCAAGAGAGTTAAAAATGTACAGAAAAAGACACAAGCACCAGCCGGACTGGTAGACTGGTGGCCTTTGAACGAGACACTGTACAGTTGTCGCGACTCTTTGAAGCAAAGAGCAACTATCGCAAAAAAAAGGCAGCCCATTCAGTAAGTCCCCCTCGTGTGGCCTTACCTCCACAATTGCAACAGTGTCATGCTACAGAAGCATCTCTATCTACCCTTCTCCCTCTTCTCCCTATATCTACCTCCACACACTGGACATCCGTTCTCCTCCACCACTCACAGCTCCTTCACACACCGCACCTCCACCAAATCCCCATCCCTGAGACACATGCTGGAATCCTCTGGCTTTCCATTCACGAGGATGGCCTTCTTTGCTGCACACAACAAAAGCATTTCTACTGTAAAAAGAAGCCAAGCCACCCACCTACAGCTCCTCAACACAGCGCACCTCCACCAGATCCCCATCCCTGAGGCGCGTGCTCAGATCCACCCGCTTCCCATTCACAAAGATAGACTCCTCTGCCGGGTACAGCACAGCAGCAGCAGCAGCATCTCCGTCAGAAGCAGTGGCAGCGCCGGCAGCAGCATCACCCACCTCATCATCAACTACAGCTCCCCCACACAGCGCACCTCCACCAGATCCCCATCTCTAAGCCGTGTGCTGGGATCCACCCGCTTCCCTTTCACAAAGATAGACTCCTCTGCCGGGCACAGCAGAGCAGCAGCAGCATCAACCACCTCATCATCACCTACAGCTCCCCCACATAGCGTACCTCCACCAGGTCCCCATCCCTGAGCCGTGTGCTCGGATCAACACGCTTCCCATTCACAAAGATAGACTCCTCTGCCGGGTACAGCAGAGCAGCAGCAGCATCAACCACCTCATCATCACCTACAGCTCCCCCACATAGCGTACCTCCACCAGATCCCCATCCCTGAGCCGTGTGCTCGGATCAACACGCTTCCCATTCACAAAGATAGACTCCTCTGCCGGGTACAGCAGAGCAGCAGCAGTATCACTGTCAGAAGCAGTGGAAGCGCCGGCAGCAGCATCACCCACCTCATCATCAACTACAGCTCCTCCACACAGCGCACCTCCACCAGATCCCCATCTCTAAGCCGTGTGCTGGGATCCACCCGCTTCCCATTCACAAAGATAGACTCCTCTGCCGGGCACAGCACCGCACTGGAAACGTCTCCATAGCCCCGGGCCCCACTAACGACTCTAGAGCCCGAGGCAGAGGGAGTGGCGGTGGTGGGGGAGAGGGAGAGGCGCAGCCCGTCGGATGAGATGACTGCAGCCGCTGCTGCTGCATCCCCTGTGGCCGCCTTGGCTCGTAGGCGGGCAAAATCACCTGCCAGACTGCCAGCTGGTAAGCGCACTATCTCACCACCTGTAGGAACAGGCAAGGGAGGATTAGTGGATTGGAGAAGCTGATAGAGAGCGAAATATCACATACCAGCCAAGTTGCCTGGTGGTATGCACACTATCCCACGCTTTGTGGCAGTGGTGGCATGGCATGGGGTTCATGCACGAAGTTCAATCAACAACCATGTTGACTCGTAACAGATTCTTACCAGGCCAGCTTATAACGAGAACTTCACTGAGAGCAACAGCGTCCACTAGGCTGTCTTGTCCTGTCCCATCCCGCTCCCCTCCCATCTCATCCCCCTCCCCTCCACTGCTGCCACTGCCGCTGCTGCCACCACCACTGCTGCCACTGCCGCTGCTGCCACCACCACTGCTGCCAAAGCTGCTGCTGCTACTAGTGCTATCTATGCCAAGACCAGCCAGGGTGCCATCCGGTGCTGCCTCGTGCCGAACCTCCCGCTCCCATTGCAGCATGGACCGGAGAAGCCGAACCTGTGAGACAGGTCCGGGACAATCGCAAGAAACGAGAAAGGATAACAGGGATAGCAGGCATTGGACAAGGCAGAGACGAACTAGAAAAGATCAATGAAAGAGGCAGGCTTAGCGCCCACCTTGTCGTTGATGTGAGGTTGGAGAGAGCAAGGAAAAAAACAGACTCCAAAACCCACATTATACTTGATGTGAGGTTCGAGCGAACAAGGAATCGATAAGACTTAAAGCCCACCTTGTTGTTTATTCGTGCAGCAGACGAGAGTGGCGCCTCCTTCCCGTCAACCCCGCTGTTACCACTCGAGCTGCTAATGCCACCACTAGCCATGTTACTGTCTCCACCCATGCTAGTCGTGACATCAGCAGCAGTAGCAGCAATAGTGCTGGGTGTAAATGCCACCCATGGTTCGACGCCACCACCATCTACACCATCCATCCTCCTCTCCTCCTCTCGCTCCCTCTCTCGCTCCCTTTCTCGCTCCCTCACTTGCTCCCTCTCTCGCTCCCTTGCCACCAATTCCCTCCCCTCCACTCCTCTCGTCCACCCCCATATCCTCCCAAGGCCCCATTTCCACATCCCTCTCCCTCCATCCATCCTCTCCTCCTCACTCCCCTCCTCTCCCCCCCACCTCTCCTCCTCCCCACTCTCCCCCTCCCCCAACCCTCCTATTCCTGCCGCAGCTAACCCCTCTATAAGCGCCACTGCTACAGTGGCTTCATAATCTACACTCTCTTCATCAGAAAGTTCTAAAAGCTGTATAAAAGTGGATTGCGCACGGCCGAATTGGTCCACTTTATGGTATATCCCATCACTGCATAACGAGTATTTCTCCAAAACGGTGCTCCAGTCCCCATGCCCAGGGGAATTCCACCAAGTATCCTTCACCCGCGCAAAAAGACGAACGTTCGCCGCCCACCGCTTCCCCTGCGGCCCGCTCCGGGCAGCCACGAGCGTATCTCGGGCAGGCAGGGAAAAACTCGACGCGACAAGAAGAGTGTTTCCAGAATTCTCCGAACTAACCACCACAGAGGTTAATAACTTCCCATCTTCTACCCTCAAGGCTGGATGCCCCTCCAATATCACTTTTCCATTAGGTAGCTGTATCTTAGCAAGCCGAGAAACTGAATTTTCCTGAACTCCCCCTGCTGCCTCCCCCTCTCCTTCCTCCTCCAAGTCACCCTCCACCTGATCCACCTCCCCCACATCAGACAAAACAGCTGCAGCCGGGGGTACAGTAGCCACAGGCACCACACCTGCATCCACCACCGGGGCTGTGGCAGGCTTGGGCCGAGCCTGAGCCTCCGAGCCTGTGCTGCTTCGAAGTGTAAATGCTGGTGTTTGATCTGGTTCGGATGACGGGGTAAGTGTTCCTGCTGGCATTGCTGCTGCTGCTGCTTGTGGCAGTGTTGCTGCTGGTGATGATGATGGTGATGGTAATGATACCGTTTCTATAGCAACACTTAGAGTGGAAGAATTAGCATCGGACTGGCTCTGCTGAATAAAATTTCTACGCAATTTGTCCTCCTGCTCCTCCTGCTCCTCCTGCTGCTGTTGCTGCTGCTGCAGCTGCTGCTGCTTCTCTATCTCCCCTTCCAAACCACTAGACCCCACTCTCACTGTTGCAGCATCTGTGCGCTCACTGCTGCTGCTAGTCGCCCTGCTGCTAGCAGCCATCCTCCCTTGCAGGCTCCTGTTGCTCTGCGTCCCTCCCCTGGAAGTCCCTTGAGAAATCTCCATACTCCCACTGTTGCTTGTGTTGCTCTGCGTCCCTCCCCTGGAAGTCCCTTGAGAAATCTCCATACTCCCACTGTTGCTTGTGTTGCTCTGCGTCCCCCCTTTGAAACTCCTTCCAACGATCTCCCCGCTTCCACTGTTGCTCCTGTTGCTCTGCGTCTCACCCTTAGAGCTCTCCCTCCCCCTGTTGCTCATCGTTCCCCCTTTGGAACCACTTCCAGTCATACCGCTGCTGGCAAACCCCTCAAACGGTTGCTTCTCAAAATCCGTGGCTGAACTCCCCTCTCTGCTCCTGTTGCTCATCGTTCCCCCTTTAGAGCCACTCACAGTCATACCGCTGCTACCAATGCCCTCGAACGGTTGGTTCTCAAAATCCGTGGCTGAAAACGGCTGGAACTTGCCTGTTGCACGCCTCCTCTCCCGACCGCTATCAGCGGCACCAGAAGCAGCAGCAGCATCAGAAGCAGCACCAGCAGAAGCAGAAGGGTCAGAAGGGGAAGGAGAGGAGAGGAAGGAGGATACTTTGGAGGAGACAGACGAGGTGAAGGAGGAGAGGAGAGAAGAGGAGGAGGAGGAGGAGGAGGAGGAGGAGGAGGAGGAGGAGGAGGAGGAGGAGGTTGAACCACCCTGCTGCTGCGGCTGCTGATTGCTGCCTGGCTGTACAGGTGGCACGTTCTCATTGGACGGCGATTCAGGTTCTGTAGAGGGGGCGGAGTCAGGAGTATCACTCTCCTTGTACAGCCAATGGGCTGCATGGCCGAACTCTGCATACTCGTGCATGGACTGGGGGGGGGGGGGGGAGGGTGAAGGGGGGGAGGGGAGAAGCAGAAGGGGGTGGGAGGAAGGGAGCAGAGTATCACTCTCCTTGTACAGCCAATGAGCCACGTGCCCCAACTCTGCATACTCACGCATGGGCTGGGGGGGGTGAAGGCGAGGGGATAGGATGGGCAGGGGAGGCAGGAGAGGATAGATATATGGATACACCACCACGGAGTCAGGAGTGTCACTCCCCTTGAGGTGTGTTTTGACGTGCCTCAAAACACACCTCAGGGGAGGCAGGAGAGGATAGATATATGGATACACCACCCAAAGTCACGAGTGTCACTCTCCTTGTACAGCCAGTAAGCCGCATGCCCGAACTCGCCATACTCGTGCATGGACTGGGGGAGAGGGAGGGGGGAGACGGGGAGAATGAGCTCTCCTTGTAGGAAAGATGGACGGATATACTACCAGAGTCAGGAGTGTCACTCTCCTTGTACAGCCAGTGAGCTGCATGGCCGAACTCTGCATACTCGTGCATGGTCTGAGGAATTGATGGGAGGAAAACGAAGGTGGGGGGGGGGGGAGAAAAAGAGAAGAGGCAGCATGAGAGACGAATGAAAGGGCACATTAGCGAAGTGATGGAGCTAAGAAAATAGGGAATTTATTCTTTTTAGCTTTTTTCACAAGGATTTAGGCAAAAAACAATGGATGCACAATGGGCCAGTAATAAACATGAAACTCACCTGAGTGCGGATCTGCACTTCCAAAGGTGCTCCGTCCGGTTTTTGAGGCGCCTCTATACTCGCACTTGCACTGCTACAACACAAGGCATCTCTTCCCAGTAATAAACATGAAACTCACCTGAGTGCGGATTTGCACTTCCAAAGGTGCTCCGTCCGGTTTTTTAGGTGCCTTTAATATCGCACTTGCACTACTGCGTTACAACGAGGCATTTGTTCACAAGGCCAGTAGTGAACATGAAACTCACCTGAGTGCGGATTTGCACCTCCAAAGGTGCTCCGTCCGGACCTCTGACAGCCGTGTGGAGTGACTGGTGAGAGAGGACAGAGATGGGGGAAAGAGGATGCAAAGGAGAGGAGTGAGTAGCGAATAAATTGTCTGATATGCTAAGAGTCGAATTGTCAGGGAATGATTGCAATAGCTGCATTCAATAAATCAATATTCCATTCTCGCATTGACGTGACAACTCAGCGTTACCTGGTAACCGCTCGGCTTGGGATTGAGGATGTAGTCGTCAAACTCTCCACCAATGGGAGTCCAGAGACTGGTTTGGGAGCAGGGGGGTTTCGGGAGAGGAGAAGGAGGGCAGAAAGGCGTGACAAGTGAGACGGCATCAGAGGTCGGAAGGGAAGGCAATAGAGCAGAGAGCAGAAATCTTGGAATAGGGGAAGACGGGCAGGAAGGCATGGAAATGGGAATGTGTGAGGGCGGCGGAAATGAAGGATATTGAGACAGCGGAGGAAGGGATAGAAGGCTTGGAAGGGAATGGCATGAGAGGAAGATAGGGGGGGCAAGAGAAAGGAAGGAAGAGCAAGAGAACGAAAATGAAGAATGAGCCCGGGAGCAAGGCTCCAGGGCCTTATATACTAGGGGAGAAGGGTATACCTCACAAGCTAACCTATCTCTCTCTCACCCGCTGGGTAAAGGTAAGATGAGAATAGAGATTACAAATGTAGGGGAGAAGGGTAGGCCTCACAAGTTAACCTCTCTCTCTCCCTCTCCCTCTCCATCTCCCTCTTCTTCTCCTTCTCCCCCTCCCTCTCCCTCTCCCCGTATCTCTCCATCTTCCCCTGCTTCTTATCATCTCCAATTGACATCTTCTAATCCTCATTCTCATTTGCACCTTCCTCTGTGCCTTCGCTTGCACCATCATCACCTGATCATATCTCCCCTTCCTCACTTTCTTCCTCTTCGTTTCCTCTCTTTCCATCCTGCATACTCTCTACACTAACCTCCTCACCTCCTCCCTTTAACACCCCACCCCTTCCTCTCCCAACTCCACCGCAGGTCCTTGCACCCAGTACACTTGCATCACCACTACAAAATCCTCCGAGCGTAAGGGTAAGAAGGAGAGCAAAGGGGATTTTGTAGTGGTGATGAGAGTGTACTGGGTGCAGGGACCTACGGTGGAATTGGAAGAGGAAGTAGTGGGGTGAGGAAAGGAGGAGGTGAGGAGGTTGGTGTAGAGGGTACGCAGGAGGGAAAGAGAAGAAACGAAGAGGAAGAAAAGGGAGGAAGGGGAGATCCGATCGGATGATGATGGTGCAAACGAAGGCGCAGAGGAAGGCGCAAATGAGGATGAGCATCAAAAGATGTCGATTGGAAATGATCAGAAGCAGTGGGGGATGGAGAGAGAAGGGGAGGGAGACCTGTGCACATGGATTAGACCCACCCACCTGTGCACCACGCTGAGCAGGTTGTAACAAGCTTCCACTGCCGCCTCGTGCTGCGTCCCGTTAGCATCCCCCACCACCACCCGCAGCGCCCGTGCGTCGTAGATTTTGTCGAGAGGCACGCGCTTGCGCCGCATCTTGGCGTGGCAGCTGTACATGCTCTTAAGGCGGCCGGAGAGGACCACCTCCATCCCTGGCACATAGCTGCATTAGGGGGTGGGGGAGTTGGGGACAGAGCACAGTGCATCTTGGCATGGCAGCTGTACATGCTCTTGAGGCGACCGGAGAGGACCACCTCCATCCCTGGCACATAGCTGCACTAGCGCACTCCTAGTTCCACGATAAGCACACTCACGGGGTGGTGATAAGCAGCTCTCGCTGCAGTGCCTCCTCGCAGCCATGCAACGCCGTGAGAGCCACCTCTGCATCACGCATCACCCCCACTGCTTGCTTGCAGCCCCACTAGCCCCATTAGCCCCACCACTACTAGCAGCACTCACGGGGTTGTTATAAGGAGCTCTCGCTGCAGCGCCTCCTCGCAGCCGTGCAGAGCCGTGAGCGCCACCTCTGCATCGCGCATCACCCTCGTCCTCCTCCTCCTCACACCCCCCCCACTCACTGTGCCACTTGTGGTGCCATTTGCAGCAACACTCGCACCACCACCACTACCCGCACCACTGGAACCACCGGTTGTACCATCAGTAGCACTTGTTCCACTGCCGGGGGCAGCAGCACCAGCACCAGTAGCAGCCCTACCAGCAGCAGCAGGCCAAGCCACTGCCCTGCTCCGCCTGTTCCTATCCGCCAGCAGATCGAACGGCACAACCGCTTCGATCAAATCCCGAACCGACGGCTCTGATTCCCCCTCCTCCCCCTCCTCGTCCCTCGCGCCCTGTAGCAGCTTGCCACCTGGCACGGCGTCCAGTACTGCTCCCTCCGCTGCAGCCACCATGGATAGGAACTCATTCGCTATAAGCACACCGCTGCTCTTGGCACCTTTTGTGAGACTGTTTCCTTGAGTGGAACCTTTTCCCTGCATGGTGCCACTGCTCCCTTTTCCTTTCTGAGTGCCGCCGCTGGTGGTGGTGCCTTTCTTGGTGCCGCCTTTCTCTGCCGATCCTGCGTGTGTGATGAAGTGAATCAGCCCTTTCTCAGGTTCATCCCTGGGGGATTCACTCTCTGGTGTTTGCTGCTGCGTGATTGGAGCAGCACCATCCATCCCTGCGGCTCTGCTGCTGCCGCTGCTGCGACTGCTGCCACTGCTGGAGCTGCTGCTGCTAGTGCTAGTGCTGCTGGTGATACTGCCACTTGCACTGCCGCTGCTGCTGCTGCTGGTGCTGCCCCCTCCACTCAGCGACCCACCTCTGTCCACCCGCCGCCCAAAACCAAAAAACTCCGAGTCACCCCCACTCCCACCTTCGCTGTCGCTGTCACTGTCACTATCCATGCCGCTACGGTGGTATGCAGACACGCTGCTGTCCCCAGCAGGAATCGCAGCAGCAACACCACCATCTGCAGCATCAGCAGCAGCACTATCACCAGAAGCACTCCCAGCAGCGGCAGCAGCAGGGGGGCGGGCAGGGCGGCGGCGGAGGCGCAGGCGCTCTCTCAGCGACCGCCAGTCCTCAGGGGAGCTCCACATGGTGGCCAGCTCGCCTCTCAGCTGTCGGAATATACGTGGCTGGAGTGGGGTTCAGTGCGGTTGGGGGAAGAGTGGGAAGGGGCGTGAGGAATACGCATCTACCTTCTCTCAGCGACCGCCAGTCCTCCGGGGAGCTCCACATGGTGGCCAGCTCGCCTCCCAGCTGGCGAAATATGCGCGGCTGGAGTGGGGTTGAGTGCGGTAAGGGAAGGAGCAGGAAGGGTTGTGAGGAATAGAGATTTCCCTTCCCTCTGAGTGACCGCCAGTCCTCAGGAGAGCTCCACATGGTGGCCAGCTCGCCCCGCAATTGGCGGAATATGCGCGGCTGGGGGGGTGATTTAGGGGGAAAGGGGGAAAGGAGGCAGGGGAAGGGGCGCAGGCGCTTCTCAGCAACTGCCAGTCCTCCGGGGAGCTCCACATGGTGGCCAGCTCGCTTCAAGGCGTGAGGCGAAACGAGAGACCCGAGTGCTAAGTCACCCTTGCATAGTCACACACAGACACGCACAGACCCACACAGACCCCACCCCAGCTGCTACGGACATTTTGAGTCGACTCAAAAGTCAACGAGAGACACGGACTGACTCCTAAGTCACCCTTGCATAGTCACACGCACAGACCCCAACTGGACAGTCACCTCTTTGTGTAGCAAGCCGCGCTCACCTCCAGCACCGCAAAGCAGAGGTCCTCCAGCTCGGCTTTCATGGGCCACACACCGAGGCGAGCAAAGGAGGGCGAGCAGATAGGTGCTTCGCCTGACTCACAGTATAAGATTTACTAAGCACGCTCACCTCCAGCACCGCAAAGCAGAGGTCCTCCAGCTCGGCTTTCATGGGCCACACACCGAGGCACAAACACAGAGAGGGAGGCAGGTGTGTAACAAGATATGAACCCAAGACAAACTCACCTCCAGCACCGCGAAGCATAAGTCTTCTAGCTCTGATTTCACAACCCACACACCGAGGCACACACAGAGAGAGAGGCAGCTCATGGTTATCATCCCAACCCAAGACATACTCACCTCCAGCACCGCGAAGCATAAGTCTTCTAGCTCTGATTTCACAACCCACACACCGAGGCACACACACAGAGAGAGGCAGCTCATGGTTATCATCCCACCCCAAGACATACTCACCTCCAGCACCGCGAAGCATAAGTCTTCTAGCTCTGCTTTCACGGCCCACACACCGAGGCGAGAGGCGAGGGAGCACCAGACAGACAGCGTCTCCTGTGCCACTGCCCGTGCCTTGCTGTCCTTCAGTGCGTAGCTGGGAGGGGGAGAGGGGAGGAGGAAGCAGCCGCAGAGAATACGAGAGAATGGGCAACAGGCAGAATAGAGAGGCCAGGGAGCACCAGATGGAAAGTGTCTCCTGTGCCACTGCCCGTGCCTTGCTGTCCTTCAGTGCGTAGCTGGGGGACGGGGGAGAAGGAAGGGGACAGAAGTAGAAGAAGGGTGAAAGCAGTTAAGGGTGAGAAACAAGAAAGGGTGAAAGCAGTAAAGGGTGAGAAACAAGAAAGGGTGAAAGCAGTTAAGGGTGAGAAACAAGAAAGGGTGAAAGCAGTAAAGGCGCGCGCGCGGACCATGGTGCGCGTGTGGACCAAGGCGCGCGCGTGGACCAAGGCGCGCGCGTGGACCAAGGCGCACGCGTGGACCAAGGCGCGCGCGTCTTTGGACCAAGGCGTGGACCAAGTCGCGCGCGCTTTTTACTCCGTGTCCTTCCCTCCCCCCTCACCCAGCTCACGCCCTCCCCCTCCACCCCCTCCCCCTCTTCCCATCCCTTCTTCCTGTGCAACAGAATAATCCAGTCCCAGGAGTGCAGATATTTCTTTTCTCTGATCCACCCTAACCCACCCCAACCCACCCCAACCCACCCCACTCCACTCCACATCACGCATGCATGCACGCGCTCTCGTGAGCGCGCGTTTGCGCGCACACACACGCACATACATACACACAAACCCTGGTGCGCATGTTGTGCAATATGTCAGCTAGCTTTATGAGCACCACCTGTAAATCGTTCACCATGCCCACATGCTTACACACTGGGGTAACATGGTATTTTCATATGCTGCACTGCACTGCACATGCGTCACTCACACACACTCACATGGTGCGCATGTTGTGCAGCCTGTCCTGTCTGCCAGCTTTATCAGCACCACCACTCGAGGGCATCACCCTGTGACCATGCCCAGGTGCCTCTACGTATGAGTCACATGGACTTCTCACATGCTTCAATTGAGTCACTCACTCACAGGCTTCATTTGTATCACATGTAAACACTCACATGGTGCGCATGTTGTGCAGCCTGTCCGCCAGCTTGATAAGAACCACTCGAGGGTCGTTCACCATGCCTAGCAGCATCATCCTCAGGCTGTCCACCTGGTCATGGCATGTGATTATAACGAGAGGCGGAGCGGGAGGGGAATGGCAAGAGGGGATAGAGGGAGGGTGGTGGATGGACGGGAAGAATATTGAGAAGGGACAGGGGAAAGGGGAGGAATGGGGGATGGATGAGGAATGGAGGGTGGGGGGAGGGTGGAAATGAGGGGGGATGGATGGAGAGCAGGTGAGAGGGCGAGGAAACGAGGAGGGGGGGCATGGAGATGTAATCATTGACCTAATTCTATCCACACGTCATCCATCATTAGAGAACTACTGAGCTTCAAACTGCAAGAAGTAACGCCATACTAGAACATTTCACGTGCCAAAAGAAACACTTACACCAGATGAAGAAAACACTCACATCAGCTGAACTGAGCCCTGTGTTCTCCTGTGCTCTCTGCTCTGCCGTTGCCCTGCGGTGCCGGCGCAACAACTGCACCAGGGGCAGCGCCGAAAGTAGGGGTTGTGGGAGGGGGAAATGATGGGAGAGAGAAGAAAGAAGATGGCAGAGTCCTGTGTAAGAGCAGCCGCAGGGGAGCTATGGTGAGTGGGAGTGAGTGGAACGAAGATGGGGCCGGTACCAGAAGGTAAGGGGAGGTCGCACGGAGGAAGAAGCGTGGAAGATGGAGGTAGGGTCAGTGGGAATGCATGGGACTTGGGGAAAGGGGAAAGGGGACAGTGAGGGCAAGGGAGGGACAACGGTGGGGGGGGGAGTGAGGAGTTGGGGCCAGATCAATTAGGATGCTGAGTCAAGGATAAGGTGCGTTGCAGCATGCCTGGTTGATATGGCTGAGGCGAGACACGCCATCCACCAGCTGTGCCACGTCAGCACCGAAGAGCATTTCCACGTCAGCAATGTCGTAGGGCGTGTCATCCACAATGTCATGCAGCACTGCTGCCACCACAGCATCCACTGCCTGGAGGTTGAGAGGGAGGAGGAGAGATGAACAGGGGAGGAGCTTTGATTGTTGGCTTGAATACGTAAACCTGCAAGAATGGGCATGTCACCCACGATGCCATGCAGCACTGCTGCCACCACCGCATCCACTGCCTGGAGAGGAGGAGAAGGGAGAGATGGGGGAGGAGTTCTGAGTGCTTTCTTGAATACCTAACCCGCCAAAAGCATCTAATGCAGCACTGCTGCCACCACAGCATCCACCGCCTGGAGGTGAGGAGAAGAGGGATGAGAAAGGTTTTTTTTGGCTCTTGTTTTACTACGCTTCAATCAACCTGAAAGTGTTTCATGCAGCACTGCTGCTGCCACAGCATCCACTGCCTGGAGAGGAGGAGAGAGGGATGGGGGAGGGGAGCAGATGCGGATGGAGTTTTGAGAAACTTACGGGAAAACTCATCCACAATGGCATGCAGCACTGCTGCCACCACCGCATCCACCGCCTGGAGGTGAGGAGAGAAAGATGGGGAAGGATTTTTTTGTTTTTTTTCCAGATTTTTTAAATTGGACACTTGAACCTGAAAGTGTGTCATCTGCTTGCCCTGGGGCGGCACCAGTGCAGCGAGGATACGAGCGGTGTGCAGGCAGTGGTTGACGTATGGCTCGCCTGTCTTGTGGTACTGGTCCCAGTGCGCATCCCTGGCAGCTCGCAGCACAGCACAAACCACAGAGAACCACCCACACAGAGCCACAATGGTCCCAGTGCGCATCCCTGGCGAACTCAACAGCCCGCACACATGACCACACAGAGCCACACCCACATACACACCTTTTTGCCCTGAGGAGGCACCAGAGCTGCCAGGATGCGAGCGGTGTGCACGCAGTGGTTGACATACGGCTCGCCTGTCTTGCGGTACTGGTCCCAGTGAGCGTCCCTGGCAGCTCGCACACAGCACCACACAGAACCGCTCAAAACCACGCACACACCTTCTTGCCCTGGGGTGGCACCAGAGCAGCCAGTATCCGCGCAGTATGCACGCAGTGGTTGACGTACGGCTCGCCTGTCTTGCGGTACTGGTCCCAGTGCGCATCCCTGGCGAACTCAACTGCTCGCAGCACCTCTGGGTGCCTGAAGATGGGGTAATCTGTGACGTCCACTGACTCGATGATCAACGGCTCTGATCAACGCCACAGATTCGGGACACGCGTGGGGAGGGGAGCAAGGAGAAAGGGACGAACAAACAATGGAGGAAGTGGAGTGGATGAAATGAAAAGTGAAAACGGAAGGACGATTTGTGGGGAGGATGAAACTGGGGGTAGAGGCAAAGGTAATCAGACACAAGTAAGAATCACCCCGGTCTGTTACCTGTTTTTGGCGGCTGTTTCTGCCGTCCCAGCAGGTTATCTGACAGGTAAGCTCCGTATATGGCTGCTAGCGCCGTCACTGCTACAGGCGTCACGGCTGTAGCAGGAATCGCCAGATGCCCCGCGTGAGCTGGCAGCCCGCTATTGGCTGCGGCTGTAGCGGCTGTACCTCCTGCTGTAGCCGCAGCTGCCACGAGCTCGCTCAGCACCGCCACGGGCAGGCTTCGTGCCACGTGGCGGGCCAGGGATGGCTGAGGCCGGTCAGGGGTCTGGGAACGGGCAGCAGATAAAGCTGTGGCGGTTGAGGCCGAAGCAGCTCCCCCAGCGGAACTCCCCCCTCCCCCATTCCCCGCCCCCAGCGCACCAGTTTCCCCCAAACCTAGAGAACTCCTTGGTTGTGGACCGATAGCTGCCGGAGCTACCCCGAGCCTGCAGGTTCGGCCACCGAACCTGGGCTGGAGCGAGGACGGGAGTAGCGACGGCCGATCCGAACCCTGCTGGTTGGTGGAAGCACGTGCTTGGGCGGTGACGTGGCAGCGAACACGCGCTCCTAGTGGCCGGAACGGCATCGGGCTTGCCGCTGAGCCAGTCTGAGAGTCTAGTAACAAGCGGTCGTGTTTTTCGCTACAGCCGAGAAATGGCGAGGGAACGGACAGTTTCTTCCAACCCGCTACGGATTCGCATTTGCGAGCTGTAGATTCGCGGACTGTAGATTCTCGTAATGTATACTGACGCGATGCGCGAAATGTGCTGTCAGGAGAGGGGTTACTGACAGTCAATTGCGGCCGTCCTGAGCCGGACGTGACAAATCTGAAACCCGCTATGGTGTCGCTGGTTCTAGCTGTAGTATTAGCAGCTACTACACTCTGTCCGCGATAAGGAGAAGTCGAGTGATGACGAGCGGCGGATTGGCGCGGCGAGATTCGGATGTCAGAAAAGGCACGAGGAGACGAGGAACGAGGTCCAGAGGAGGTCGTAGTGCAAGTACTATTTAACGAACTTGAGAATGAAGTAGATGTTGGATTAGAGAGACCACAGGGATTGGAGGAACTAGAGGGGACGACCTTACTGTAAGGATTTGTCACCAAAAGACCAGAGGCAGTAGTGGCATGGTTAAAAGACTCCATAAAAGAAGACAAACGGAGCCGTGCAGGACTGTAACCTGACCTTTCCCTAATGTTTTTCACGTTAACGCGACCCCTTCACGCTTCTGCCTCTAACGGGTATGAAGCTGTGAAGACCGCTTCATGAAACGGCATGGGAATCAGTGGGAGGCTTCAAGGAGTATGAGGAAGGTACGAACATTAACGGGAAGACTATAGTAGCAGACGCTTTAGCGCTTGACCATACCGTCAAACGCGGAGAGGCGAATGGACAGCGCTAAAGACTTGAGCAGTGTTGGGTAAGCTGACCTCCAGGGATGCTAGCCTGAAAGAATGTGGGACAGGCTCATGGGACACAATCAGGTGTGCCAGTCCGCGTTCGCCGCATCCGTTTCGTCTCCAGAACAATCGCTTCTCAGCCGTGGTCGTACTCAACACCCCCCCTCAAAATTAACTTCACTGCCAAATAATTGTCCTCGATGATAAATAAAAGGATCTGAAAGTCTACCACGTTTGACGCTTTCATAAGTAAATCCGATTCAGAACAAGACCGAAACAATGAGCTTACGGAGTTCTCAAGCGTCTGATGGAGTGTGACCCGTGCGACCCCGAACGAAGCTGGAGAAGCGATTTGTGTTGCGTGTGCGACAACGTGGTAATTCTTTTACTTCACAGTGATTGGCTATCCATCTCGTTTGGGAAGGTGTGGCATGTGATGAGATTGGTTGTTCACTGCGCGGCCAGCTTCCCGATTGGTGCAATCTCGTTACTGAGGTGTTCGCCCGAATCTGTGGCATTCATTCCTTGTACAAGTACAATCCGCGTGGAAGGTGTGGAAAACTGCTCTTGTAGAGGCCATCAAACATTTTGGACCATCTTACAACGTTGAAGAGTGAAATTAGTATGACTACGACAAGGTTTGGTTGTGGTAAAACATCATATGCATTTGACCATAATCAAGCCCTTTCAAATGCCAAAGCCACTCTTGCAACATTGGAGAGCTATAAATGTAGTCCCTCTTTTTACTCACGCAGCGGACCATTTTACGGCCGTTCTTGACAGAATCAGAAGAAAGAAAGGGGGTTGAACTAGCAGGAATGAGGATACAAATAGCAAAACCCTAGAAGGGTTGTACTCGCTATAGAGCACCCCACTACAGGCTAGAGCATAAGATAATATTCTGACACACCCCCATAACCAAAGTGGGGTGTAATCAGCAGAGCAGGCAAAGCAGTACAAGCTCAGGGTGGATCACAATGTCACCACACATTCTTAGCACAAGTTCAAGAAGCAATAGTTTAGAGTTCACAATTATGAGCAAAGCTAGTGGTAGTCACAACGGGCAAGTGAGGAGGAGGAGGGAGAGTGAGAGGAGAGGAGATAGAAGACGGCGGCTGAAGCTGCAGACACACGGGCAACAGGAGTGGCGAGCACAGTGGCTACCGGACTAAGCGCCCGGACTACAGGAGCAACAGGCCCCGCGGCTTAAGCAGCGGCAGACGGGCAACGGACCCACAGGCGACTGGCGCAGCGACAAGCTCACTGGGCTACCCGGACAACGCCCCGGACTACAGGTGCTGCGGACAACATGCTGGCAGCCTCCACTCAACCTCCCGCAGACAGTCCCACCCCCCTGATACACACCCGCTGCTACACCCCTAGCTCCACTCCCACGCACCCCCCTTAAACCCTAAACCCCAGTCTCCCACACAACCACCCCCCTCAGCGACAGCTGCAGCAGTGGGAGACGAAGGAGGAGGAGGAGCAAAGGGAGGAAGGCACACCGGCCACCCCCATACCCGACACCCCACCGCTCGCCCCTCAGGTCGCCTCGACAGGCGACGGGAAAAGGGGGGGGGGAAGGCGGGGACGGGGCCGGGGCCGCGACGGGTAGGGCGACGGGCCGCATGTAGTGCGGCGGTAGGGCCGCAGGTAGGGCGGCTGGTGGGCCGCAGGTAGGGCGGCGAGTGGCCGCAGGTAGGGCGGCTCGCGGGCCGCAGGTAGGGCGGCGGGTGGGCCGCGAAGGTAGGGCGACGGGTGGCCGCAGGTAGGGCGGCGGGTGGGCCGCGAAGGTAGGGCGGCGGGTGGCCGCGAAGGTAGGGCGGCGGGTGGCCGCAGGTAGGGCGGCGGGTGGGCCGCGAAGGTAGGGCGGCGGGTGGCCGCGAAGGTAGGGCGGCGGGTGGCCGCAGGTAGGGCGGCGGGTGGGCCGCGAAGGTAGGGCGGCGGGCGGCCGCGACGGGTCCCCGTCGTCCGTCGCAGCGCCTCCAGAAGGCGACGCGACGAACGACGGGGCAGAAGCCCGTCGCGCGCCTCGGGGCGCACAGCGGGCAGAGAACCGCCACGTGCCTCAGGGCGCACGACGGGGAGAAAAAACCGCCGCGCGCCTCGGGGCGCACGGCGGGCAGAAAACCGCCGCGCGCCTCGGGGCGCACGGCGGGAAGAAGAAGTGGTGGCGGAAGCGTGGAGGTGGTAACCCACCCACAGGATCGATCCAGGGGGATCGACCTGCTCTGATAGCATGACAGAATCAGAAGAAAGAAAGGGGGTTGAACTAGCAGGAATGAGGATACAAATAGCAAAACCCTAGAAGGGTTGTACTCGCTATAGAGCACCCCACTACAGGCTAGAGCATAAGATAATATTCTGACAGTTCCAACTTCCACCCAGCACAGGGCTGACGCTATTAGAGTAAATAGTCTGATTAGTCTGACGGATAAGACCATCGAGTTTGTGAAAAATGGAATTCCTGAGTAGTCAAATTTTCATCACTGAGAGCCTCAGAGTTTTTGTTTTATGGCCCCTGATTCAGTGTACTAGCCGTAAGAGTTAGTCATTTCTGGAGTCTGTCACTACATAGTATGCGTTTTGTGGTCCCTGCATGCGAGTTTATCGGGAGGAAGCTTCCTCGAAATTTCCTTTCGATACACCCACCTCCGAGGTGGCAGCGAATGCCAACACGTGAGCAAAGCACACAGCACCTGCTGCAATATCTGAATACACTATATCTGTGGCAGTATCACGCAGGTTGAATTGTGTCCCATAGTGGGTTAACCGTTGAAGCGGGCTAGAAAAAGAAGCCCAATAGTGATGTCTTAGCGGATAGCACAACAAATCGGCGAAACGGTGGGAGACGATATCTTGCCACAGGTAATGTATCCCACTTTTTGGTGCTGAAATCGAAATTTTCTCCGCACCACAGCACTTGAAATAAATTGTTCCTGATTCCTAGGTTGAAAATTTATGTTGCGGAGGCACCGGCAGATTCTCGCGCGCCAAGTGGTGGTTTGTGTTTTGTGCCAGCTCAGCTGCGTGACAGGTCGCCCAGTTGGCACTTGCAAAGTTGCGCCAAATCGAGCCAATGTCGCAACAGTCCTTCTCGCCCTTGAAGCTCACCGACAAACCAGAAGGAAAAAAAAAAAAAAAAAAAAAACCGCGACTCTGAAGTCATTTCCCCAACACTGAAGGACCAGAGTTGTGTTTTTTTCAACCCTGATTTCTTTTAACACGCTCAGAGTGGCCATTTTGCAGCCGAAGTGCCGTCAGAGTAGAAAAAATAATTGCGGGTCAAAAACAAGGAGGCGTTTTTTGAAACGTCAGCCCTGACCCAGCATCACTCCATCCCTCCTCCCAAACCCTGGTTTATGGTCTAGGACTACCAGTGGGAGTTGCTGGAACCATATCGTCACTGCAAGAAGCCCAGAAGCACTTGTGGTTGGGCGGCGGGAGGACCAATGTCACTCTATGCGCAACGAAATTTATCGTCACCCCCGCATTCGACACGCTCAGCAACGTCGTGCTTCTCGGCGGAACCGACTGGAAATACACTCAATTCAGCTCAGTAGTCTTGTTCACCTGCATGTTCTGGTTAATAGTCGGAAAGAGGGTGCCCGGAGCAGCATTCAGGAGCTGCTGTGCAGTGTAACACCCCTTGAGAATGAGGCCACGAAGTACCTGTCGCTTCTGCCTTGGCTCTAGAATGTCCCACCAGGCTTCAGAGCGCCAGTAGCCAACGTTGGTGGGGACGAGGATGGTTTGTTAAGAACAAAGGCAAGAATTAGTTGATTAGGTGAAGGGTTGGGTACAAGACTAGGGTATCGAGAAAGTTTTGTGTACCCCCTGGGGCTATCCCCAATATAGCCTAGATAATGATATGCATATCTTTGACACACCCCCATAGGCGAAATGGGGGATAGCCAGAGCAAGCAACGGCCACAAGGCCAGTCCACATGCAGAGGTATATAAGCAACAAGAACAGAACAGTGATCTCAAGCTAGAAAGAGCATGCATGCAGGTACATATATAGATCACAGTACAAGCAGAGACTACACCAAGTGTGGAAGCGTAGACACAAGGCCCAACAAAGTACAAAAGCGCTGATGGTCACCAGACGGAAGTGCCTTGGTGAATATATCAGCAGTGTTGGCCCGAGTGGCCACGTGAGCAAGACGAAGCTGACCACACTGCTG